GGCTTGGCGGCCGAGCCGGGCTGCCTGCCGGACTGGCGCACGCTGTCCCTGTTCGGCGTCGGCGCGGTGCTCATGCGCGGAGCCGGCTGCACGGTCAACGACATGTGGGATCGCGACTATGACAGAAAGGTAGAGAAGCCCCCGTGGGCTTGCAGAGACCCAGGGAAGTGAATTGCTGGTTAATTAACCGAGTATGTGTCCGCTGGTCTCCCAGCATCGCCAGCAGTTCCTTGCTGGCATAGCACTCCGGGTTGAGAAATTTTTTATTATTTTTTTTTTATTATTTTCAGGAGCAAGGTTTCCTAAAGTATTGTTAATCTCACCATGAGAACGGCTGTTAAGAGTATCATGCCCAACTCTGAGCTAATCCTCTTCTGTTATGTTGTATTTTTCATCTCCCTTCTGTTCAGAAGAGGGAAATAAGCAAAAGGCAGAGCCTAGTGTCAGATGTTGAAATGTGCCCAGGTGCAGGCTTGGAGGGGAGTATCCTGGCCATGCATCGCTGCTTGTGCTGTTTCCTCTGCTTAGATTGTTCCTCTGGTTTGGGGGTTTGGGTTTCGGCGATGGCAAGAGACAGGGTAATGAGCCAATCTGACGTGAAGTTCTTCTTACAGCATTGTTGTGCTGTTGGGAAGGCAATGAGTCAGTACAGGTTTGGTGGCAGCTTTGGGTGGTTTAGGGTTCGGAGATTATTAACAACTAGAGAAGCCCTGCATCTTTACAATATTTACATGGTAATCACTTTCAAGCGTTTAAGCACAGAAATGCTGCTCGAAATTGGGATAGTTAGCTCACAACTTTTTAAGTCTGATTTTTTTTTTTTCACCGAAGTAGTAAAATTCATATATAAGATGTCTGCAGTGTTTCTAATCAGCCACATTGCACACAAGTGGCACTTTATTTCTGCTCTAGTTTTTAAAGCCTGCATGCTTCTATTATAAGCGCTGCTGCTGAGGAATGCAGCTCATGTCCGTGATGATACGCTAGGTTTGCGTCATTGAAGGAACCCCGTCTCATACATTCTGTGCCCTATTTCTGTTTATTTTTCCGCATATATGCCAATTGGTGTGACTTTTAAGACATGTTGGAATGTGTTACGTTGGGTTAATACTATTATTTCCATTTTTAGGTTGCAAGGACAGCAAGTAGGCCCCTGGCAGCTGGAGATATCTCCACTTTTCAGTCCTTCGTTTTTCTTGGGGGACAGCTTAGTTTGGCACTTTGTGTGCTTCTGTGTCTGAATTACTATAGGTAATGTATAAGTTATCTTTTGTTTTTTGAAATTTGATTCCGGGTCTGGAGTCACGGTGTTACTGAGATTTTCAGTAGAAAAGGTGTTGGGGGCAGAGGGAGGAGGTTATTAGTCATGGAATTGTATCTGAAGGTAAAAGAATTAGTTCAGTACTGTGTACAGCTCCTGTAATGCTGCACCATATCTTGTGATCTAGACTGGCAAACAATAAACGTCTTGGTACCTTTTACAGTATTGTTCTGGGAGCAGCCTCTTTGTCTCTTGTGGTCACCTACCCTCTGATGAAGAGAATAACATATTGGCCACAGTTAGTTCTAGGTGAGCTGGAAATATTTTTAATATTTTTGTCTTCAGATGTAGTTTTTGGGGTGTTTTACAAATTAGTAATTGAACTTCAGCGATCTGATTTTTTTATAACTTTGTATTAAAATAAAAATACCTTATAGACAAAGTTCTGTTGTGCCAGAAGCTTCTTAAACAATTTGTAACACGTAGAAGAGTTGATATTTGGGTTTGGGGTTTTTTTTGTTAAAAATCAGTTCCTTATTTTGATGGAGTGAAGGGAGGGAGAAAATAAGTATTTGTCATTTGAGAATCAGCTTTAGGGTTATCTCGAAACATTTCTTAAACATGTAGTTGTCCTGCATTTCAGTCTTCAGCCTCTAAACTCCTGCAGAAACTGATGGTGCTTGTATTTCAGGTTGAGCAAACATATCTTTGTATTTTGGCCTTCGCATTCCAGCTGCCTTCAACTTTTTCAGCCAAAATTGTCATTTTCAGCCTTGGAGCACCATAGTTGGCTGCTGTGCACTCTTTTGCAGTCAGTTACACTGACATCTTTTGTTACACTGGCATCTAAGCATTTTAACTTCAGAGTTAAAATTTGAGTTGTTTGAGTACACTGGAATAGTTCTGTGCAAGTGCTTCCCTATGCTAATGAAATCAAGTTTTAGTTGGGGAAACATACAGGGCTACACGTATTTCTCCTTGTATGTCCAGAGTATTTAAGGTCAAATTACTTGTATTTATTACATGCCTGAAATTAAGTGGTAGAAAAACAGAGACGGCAATATTGTACAAAAAGCTGCTGATATGATATACACTTAAACAAGTAATTTTTAGTTCTGTACATGTAATTTAGATTGCTCCTGGCAACCTTGTAACTTTTTTCTGTTTTTTTACTGTCTTTATGTTTTTAGGACTTACATTTAACTGGGGAGCCCTTCTTGGCTGGTCTGCCATCAGAGGGTCATGTGAGTGGTCTGTGTGTTTGCCCTTGTACTTAGCTGGAGTAATGTGGACGCTGGTATACGATACCATTTACGCACATCAGGTAGAGTAACAGCAGGAAATTTTAGATATCTGTATATGTTTGTGTGTTTAATTTACAACTTTGTTGTCAAACAGCAGTACTAACCTGTTGCAGTTCTTCACCCTCAGCTGAGCTAAAACAGCACCAAAGAAAGCCCAACCCTTGCACTTTTTATTGCTGTTTGCAAATGTTTTCCGTGTCAGGTGGGAAGCTGAAAGTGTAATGCAGTTTGTGTGCTTATGCATTTGCACTGTGTCAATAACTTTGACATTGGTATTAGCTCTTGGCTGCTAAAGCAAGTCTAAGGAAAAGCCTTTTAATTTAAGTTTTAATGTAGGGACCTACGAATGCACTTAAACTGGGTTCCTAACAAGAAGTATTGAAAACTTAAGCAAGCCATCCCTTCTTATTTTCCTTATGAAGTGGCAGTTGGATTGTGGATTTTTTGCTAATTCATCCTTTCATTCTAGGATAAGAGGGACGACATCGTTATCGGTGTGAAGTCAACAGCACTGCAGTTCAAGGAGGATACGAAGCAGTGGCTCAGTGGCTTCAGCCTTGTAATGCTCCTGAGTTTGTGCATGACAGGAATGAATTGTAACCAGACGTTCCCATATTACTCAGCTGTGGCTGCCATAGGGGCTCACCTAGCGCACCAGGTTTGATGGATTTATTTATACTTTTTTCATGTGGAAATTCTTGATAAGACATCAGAGTGCTTTTCAACCCCGATCAATTCGCCAACTACTGAGAAAAACCCCAATTCCTGTAAAGGGAACTGAAGTCTTCAGAAAGTAAGCTTGCTCAAGAGAAGCAAGAGTACCTTTTAAAGACCTTTTGTTTGAAGAGACCTCCAGTGGTCCGCAGACTGCAGAGCGCTAGTTTTCAGTCTGTTCCTAAGCAAAAGAACTGCCTCGTGTTAAGCTGTGATCTCAAGGGAATGATTTTCTTCTCGCTTCTAGTAGCAGATGCAGCTACATCTACCTCAATATCCTGCAAGATGATGCAGTTTTTACTGTTCTGATATGTAGCTCTTCCTATGTCTGTTGCATATGATCTGAGACTGCAAATGATGTATATAATGATCATTCACTTACTTTAAAAGATCATATGGTATACAACATCAAGGACACATGCAGGCTTTATTTTTTTTGTTTTTTTATGACATGTTTTATTATGACATGCTATACAGTAGCTATATGAAAATGAATGTTGCATGTTCTGTCTCTCAGAGATGGTCAATCTTATATCTCATTATTCAGTACGGTGATCTGGAGGTTCAGTCTGGGATCTGACAGTATAACAAAATTGTCTGTGGCTTCTTCACTACCACCTGTAGCAGATGTTAATATTATACTTTTATGGTAATTGACAGTTCTAATTCACAGTTCTCTTTATAGCAGAGAACAATCCAGTTCAGTCTTGTATTAGTTTAGAAATTTTAATGACTAACAGAAAGACATTAGCTTTGTGAGTAAAGGAAGCAGATGGGATCTTGTTACCCTGTTCTTTCTGAATCCTAACAACTGTGTTGCCCATTCTTGCAGTGACGAGCCAGTCTATATGAAAATTAATTTCTGGTCTCGATAGGTGAGTGATAGCAAAGAGGTTTGTGTGTTGCAAGTAGTAAAACCATTGATGATCTGAGAAGTCTGTGGTTCCCATGAAACTTGTTAAAGCACATTAGACTTATGCTACAACTTTAATGAGGGGAGCTCATGCAGGTGATGGATATTAAACATGCCTCTGAGTAAGAGAAAACTTGTGTATTTTGGTACTTGTCAGCCACTGCTTTTCAGTTTGAATTGTCAGAGAATTCTTACGTTGTAGTTTTGGCACAAATAGAAATTGCTTTCCTGCAGAGAGGGCTTTTATAAGTGAGAATGCAGACCGATTTAATGTAAGTGGTGAAGAGTGCACAACAGTAGCATAGATTGCCAAATTCACAAGAGCAGCATTGTTCTGTGTATCACAGGGTAGCTTCTTTTTGAGTGAATATTTTAGTATTAGTTCTGCCTAAACATTCTCATGCTTATCTTCTTGTTCAAGATTTCTGAACATGTGCTTAACTGAGTTTAGAAAGCTGAGTAAGCCGCATGAGGGGTACGTTTTCCTTGGTTCATTGAATGTGTGCCTGAGACAGGAGTTTGGGTCATGAAGATGTCAAACTTCTGTCCCACTCAAGAAGTTCACCGATAGAAAAACAACATCTTTTTATTTGCTTTGCATTTCTGAAGGTATATCTCATGGCTTGGCTGCTTTTGGGTTTTATTTGTCAGTTCAGTGTTTTCAGTTCCTTGTGCTGGAGGGACTGGCAGGTTTTTAAGGGTGTGGATAACACCATGTCTTAGAAATTTGTGAACAACGTTTCAGATTATTTGGTCAGAACTCAGCCCTGGCCTCTGTACAACTGCAGATGGCAGAGGAACTGGTTTCCCAGGGAAGGTTTCACTTCTTTTAGTCGGATGTGTTCTGTTTTGACTTCTTCAGACGCTGAATAGCAAGGTTTGAGATTTTTTGGGGGGTACTTTTCTATTAATCCTTTCACTTGTTTTGCTTAATATTTCCTCTTGTCATCCTTCTCAAGACTTTTGCACCAAGTTTTGTTTCCGGAAATATTTTTCAGTAACTTTGCTCTTGCTGCACTATGTGGGTTTTTTTCACCTTTAGTTGTGACTCACTCACAGCAGACAGCTGCCAAGCTGGGCAAGCCTTGCTTCTAGCTCTTGTTGCAGGTGTCGCGGTTCTGTTCTGCAAGAGAATTGAACGGACATGGCTAGGAGTGACTGGAGTAAACCAGCCCTGTGTGAGTAGGCAGGGCCGGGCACCTTCCTGTGCCGTTCCAGTTAGCCTGGTTCACTGCTGGGTCTCCAGTGCCTTGTCTCTACTGAAACACGCAGCAACACCTTGCAGCAGAGATTTAAAGGTGCAGGCAGGTTTGAGGGCTTTTCCTTTTATTCAAAGTTCCCATTAAAGAATTAGGTGGCTGCCTCCTGAGGAAAATCTCAGAAAGACTTATTTACATGCACAGATACTTTTTCATTTTTACATATCAAACCAAACGCACCCAATATCCAGGCTGTTTATATGGTCCTTCATTGGGAGGATCCGGGAATCATGTTCATATGTGATCCTTGACTTTTCTGCTGTATGTTGAATAAATCTGCCAGTTACGCAGAGTCCTTTGTAAGCGCAGAGTATTCCTGTTTATTGTGGAAGTAAGGGTAGACTTTAGAATTTGAGATTCAGTTTTTGAAGTGTCTTTTTCTGATGTATCAAATATTTATGCGTCTGTAGAATAATAATGCTAGAATGTTATACCATGCTTTTGCAGATTTACACATTGGACATAGACAAACCTGAAGACTGTTGGAAGAAATTTGCTTCAAATCGTACTGTAGGAGTTATGCTCTTCACAGGGATTGTGCTTGGAAATCTGTGCAAATGAATAGACTCAAAAACGTAGAAGAGCCTTTAGGAAACAGGTAGTTGAAATTACTGTAAATACTGATACTTTAGCTAAAATGTAAGTACTGTAAGAAGGAAAACACTTTTAACATTACTGTAGCTGCTTTGTACTGTTTATTTATAAAAGCTGGTGAAAACATGCTTGTTTCTAAAAATATGCAAATGAGATTATCCTACAATGTAAGTTTTGATTATCCTTTAAATGACTTCAGCCTCCATAGAAGCTTCAACAGGTGAAGCTGCTCTGCTGGTCCTGTGTAGTATAAACAAATTTCTGTTAAGCTCTCAAGACTATGACCCCAAGATTTTATACGAAACAGATATCTCTTAGTGACAGCACGTGGGAAAATGCAAAGTGATTTCAGGATGTAAATAAAATCTGGCTGTATATGTTTGGTGTTCTGATTTATTACATGAATATTTTTTTCAGTTTGAGTTGGAGTTTGTTGTGTGAAGGAATTGCAGTAACAATTTTTATCCTGAGATGTCTAGAAGCAGTTGGGACTCTGTGATTGTGTGAGGTCCAAAATTAGAAGTCAGCGGGGAAGTATTTAAAATTACCTTTTGCTCTTGCTGTGTGTTCGTTGGCAGTGGTTCCTTTTCACGTGAAAAGAACAGGCTTCTGCAAAGTTGCCTGCACAGAGTGAGCTGAGCTCGTTTGGCGAGAACAATTTGAACACAGACTGCTGACATAAAAAAAACAAGGGCAGCTCAGAGCTGTTGCCAAGTGTGCATGACTGGTGGTTGACCCTGAGCTATAAATTCATCCTGCAAAGTGGTGCTTATTTTTTTATTTTTATTTTTTAAATCTGTTTTGACTTATGCCCACTGTTTTTATTTGTAGTCTTACAAGAAGAACTTGTTTCTAGGAGGGCCCCTGTAAAGAATAAAAATAGCAACTGCAGGCTAACAATTATATTGCTCCAAACCATTCATGTTTTCAGCTGGTTTATTGTCTCTCAGTTACATGATTTGCATAGTAGTTAACCTTTTCTTTGACGTATGGTGCGAAAGAGCTTATTTGGTGTGTTCTGGAATTCATTTCTGTGGAAGGAGGAGAGGACACGCCTGTTCTAGGAAAATGATATGGTGGAGTTTATCTCGATTTACATACTGGTAGGTAATGTAAGCGCACTTTTCTCCACAGGTGGCTTTGCGTATGCCTGCTGCGGGGGTGTGGTTCAGTGATGCGGCGCGTTTGGTTGCCAAACTCGTTATGGTATCCCAACAACCTTTCCTGATGTCCACTCTGCTCCTTGAGTGGTTGGGCACAACTGCCCATGCAGTCGCGCCAAAAATAAGGTTGTGTACTGCTCTAGATCTGAAGATGGATATCATACTTTAAGGTTATTTAAACCAATGTGTCTGAGAGACATTGCAGTCCAGAGCTGTGCGTTCAAGGCTTGCTAACTAGTTTTGCATTACTGATGATGGCGAACAGGTGAAGAAGTCCCTGTTCCAGGGAAGTGAGAAAGCATGTAGTGAGTCAATGGCTTTGGTCACAGAAGATTCTTTTAGGGGCTGGAACAGACTTCTGTGGGTTCTGAACACTTCTTTTTAATGTACACCTTGTAAAGTTGTTTTTTTTCTTTTATTATTTAAACAAGTAATGTCGAATATATTTTGAGCAAATTCGAGTAGGTTTTTCAGCCTGACTGCATGTAAGATTGCCATGGTTTAACCCCAGCCAGCAGCTAACCATCAGACAGCTCACTCCCCACCTCCACCCCATGGGAGAGGGAGGTGGGTGGGAAAAAGTAAAAACTTGTAGATTGAGATAAAGGCAGTTTAACAGTAAAGCAAAGGAAGAGATAATAATAATAATAATAGTAACAATAATATGTATACAAAACAAGTGATGCACAAATGCAGTTGCTCACCACCTGATGAATGATACCCAGCCTGTCCCCAAGCAACAATTGCTGCTCCCAGGCCAACTCCCCCAGCTTGTATACTGAGCATGACATATGGTATGGAATATCCCTTTGGCCAGTTGAGGCCAGCTGTCCCAGCTGTGTCCCCTCCCAGCTTCCCGTGCACCTGGCAGGCCAAGCCAGTGTGAGCCAGCTAAAAAAATCTTTGATTGCCTCATAACAACTGAAAACATCAGTACGTTATCAACATTATTTTCATTCCACATCCAAAACACAGCACTATGCCAGCTACAAGAAAGAAAATTAACTCTATCCCAGCTGAAACCAGGACAAAGATAGAAATATGTGAAAATGTCAGGAAGCGTTAACTGCTTTTAGTGCCTCCTTGGTCCCTACACAGAAATTGTTCTTAGATAGGGTTTGTAGTTTTGGGGTGGAGAAGTATTAAGCTGAAAAAAAGCAGTTTATAAATGAATAAGTTTCTGAACAATTGTGTGATAAAGTTGCACTTTGTAGAGTGCAAATTGGATAAATCCAACTTCCTGTTGAACTTTGGTTATAAGGCATTTACTGGTAATAAAAGAGTCCTGTGGTGTAATTAGTTTGGATCAGTTTCTTAATACTTGTGGTGTTACCTTAGAGAGGTTGTGGCAAAAGTTACTCATTTGTCCTTAACACATTAAAGTGTCTTTAAGCATCTTAGATTTGGGAAGAGGTCACATTTTGTAGTGGCTTTGAACCTACTGGTGTCCTTTGATGATGACTTGTCACAAGCAAGTGTTTGTCTTGTAATGAGAGGAAGAAGAAGGTGTAGCTAAAAACAGTAAAACATTCAAGTTTCAAAACAGTCCTCGTGTCCTAAACTTGAAAATCATTGCATGTTTTCTGTGGGGATTTTCTAAATTCAACTCAAAATGCGCTTTACAAAGATAAGCCATAGCTGTATTTTAGGTTCATTGAAGAAAAGAAAGGTTTAGGTTCTAGGCTGTAATACTGTGTTATTTGTGTGAGCATTATATGATTAATACACAGAAATAAGAAATAACTTTTTAAGTGCAGAAGAGACAAAGGCTGAACTACTTCCTTGCTAAAACCCTGTTTGTATCTGCTGGCAGGTATATGTGCATATCTTCTGTTCCCCTTCCATTCTCAAGCTATTCCATTCCAAATCTTCACAAAGACACTCTCCGCTGTATTTAGATACAGTCTGTTAAAAAAATTCTCAGATACACCTATCTCTAAGCAGCAGCTTCATTATTAGCTAGTGTGCTTTTGCACAAACAGTGTCCTCTGGAAGTTTCTCCTCCAGTGTCAAATGTTGCCTTTCTCCTCCCATCCGTTTCCAAATGTTCCTGCGCAGGACATTGAGATAAGAAATCCTTTTAGAGGCAGCAGGAAGGTCAAATGTGCCTTGCTAAGGCAATCGTGAAATGCTGACAGTTGCTTAGCGAAACAGAAAGCTCTGTAACCAACACAAACACTTGCATTTGTGTGTTCTCATTGTACTTTGTAGAAAGCTGTAGCAGAGCAACACCAGTTCTTTGTCCAGGAGTAGCTGTACCTGCATAGGGGTGCTAGTTCCTGCAGGGGTACAGGGAGAGGTTGCCTAGGCATCAGCAGCCCTTCATGATGGGGCTGGATCTTTGGTTCAGAAGCCGGCTTGGGACAGTGGCACATGGCAGCTTGCACGTTCACCTTTGCCAGGGGGAGCATTTCTTGGTAAATACAGTATCATTAATGCAAGGGGGTCAGATTTTTCCCTCCCTCTGATTTCAAGAAAGTATGCGCCACAGGCATCTAGCTCAGGAGCTGTGGTGTGCAAACAGCACGGGCTGGAGGACACGGGCAGCCAACGGTGGCTGGAAGACAGTCTGGCCACAGGGGATCACCAGGTCAGTAGGTCAGGCGTAGCACCAGCCACTGGTAGTATAATGTGGGAATGAAAAGGTGGCTCGACTCAAAGTCAGCAAGGTGTGTCAGTATGTGGAAGGATCGGACCATCCTGTGGGCTGAAGTCACTAAAATGCCAGCTGAAAATTACGGTAACCCATCACCTGTACCAGCATGGCATTGTGGTTAGCTAGTACTCGGGGAAGACCCTGAAAGCACTGCCGGTGTGAGGAAGGACTGGTGTGGTAAACAGAAGCAGGAGAATATTTTGTGGGCATTTCTTTGTTTTTAACGTTTGGCAAAAGCAGGGAAAGGGCCATTAATTTGTTTCTAAACACATCGCAGTGCAAATACCAGGAGAGAAGATCCGTTTAAGCTTCAAAATGAAGCTGTCAAAAAAAGGTTGATGTTAATGATCCATGGATAATGCGAAGTTCCGACACTAGCTTGAAGGCTCCTGGCATCCTGGAGAGGTGAGTTTCCTGCGGTACCTCCCTGTGGTTTGTGACAAAGGCAAAAGGCCAGAGCAAATTTTAACAGAATGTGTGCTAGATACAGTACCAGAATTACAAAGGAGATGCAAAAATCTCCTTGGTTTCACAACACTCTTCTTTTCCTGCATGGTGGTGGTTAAAAAACACCACCCCTACCCCAGCCAGGCAGCTGTACGCGTGTGGTTTTGTCTGCTCTAAGCAGGAAGAGGTCTAACACAATTAAAAAACCAAAACAAAACCAACAACAAAAACCAGTATTCAAAGGCCAAGTTCAAAACTTTTTAAAATACAGCTTTAATTTCTGGAAGAGTGAGCAGAAATCCCTGCCCTGATGAAAAAAAAAACCCAAAACCAAACACCCACCCCCCCCGAATGTTTGTTTAAAGCAGCAGAACACAATTCCTCCAAATTGCAGAGCTTCCTGGCTATGACAGGTAGAGTAGCAAGGAGAAGTATCTAATTTACAATATGTTGCTTCAGCTGTGTGAAGAACAGAACCAAGCCTATAACAAGCTGTGAGGGCGGGGGTGGGGAAAAGCAACTGCATGCCTATTCCACAGTACCCTGGGTTTTTTTCCTGGACTGCCTTAAAGTATTGTTCAGCTCTCAATGAAAAGTATACTGAAGGGAGATAAGATTGCCTGCCAGTGTAACTTGGAGATAACAGCACATGCATAGCAAGAGGGGACTGTTTTGAGGAGAAATTTCAACAGTGTGAAGTGGTTGCTTAGTACAAAGATTGTGTGCGTTTTGTGTTGGCTGTCATGCTGTAGCATGGCCAAGTATTTGTCAGACACATTTTCCAGCTTTATCAGAGCTTATTTCCCC